ATGTTTATGGCATGGCTTACTGGTGTGAATTTAGTATTGGTATTCATGACGTAGTAAACCTCACCTCTCTATTAAGTTCCTCTCATTATAACTTCATTTATTTATATATATATATATTATATATATATATATATAGTAAACAGTAGTTATATATTATTATTATTATATTATTTTCATAAGATTTAAAAGAGGCGAATGATCAATTACACTAACATAAAGTTTCACAAAGTTTTATTAATCGTTAATGACGACCCTCATACCAGGCCTCCTGCAGGTCATTAACAGAGATCTTAAAGAATAGGGAGACTAATAGGTGTTAAAAATAAGAGAGAATGAGGGTGATGGTGTGGGATAGTTGGTCGGGTAGTTTGTTTTTGTGGGTTTTTTTTTTTTTTTTTTTTTGGGTGGAGGCTGGGAGGTCACCCATCCAACCACTGCTACCCCCTCCCCTCCTCCGTTCTCCCTCCTGCCTTGGCTAGTCTCCATGTGCCGGGCTCAGGGCCTTGGGAATGAATGGCGCCCGGGCTCTGCTCCGTCTTTGAAGCCAGCCAGGAATGCGAGGCCTCTTTTTTCTTTTTTTTTTTCTTTTTTTTTTTTTTTCTCCCTTCTCTCTCTGTTGTTCAGGCGGCCGGCAGCACTAGCAGCTATCTGCGGCAGTGAAATATTCCCTCCGCTGCGCTCATTGTGCATCGGAGAGCCGGACGTCATAGGCTGGCCAATCACTGGCTCCCGCTAGGCAGCCTCGGGTCTCGGTGGGGGGAGAAGAGACTCGCTAGAAGTCTTCCCTCTAATATCTGGCTCTCCTGGTTACTTGGTCTGGTCCCTCTTCAGAGGAAGAAAGATGTTCTGAATGAGAAACAGAGACGGGAAATCATTTGGCTAATCCTTATTTAAGTTGAATCTTAGGAAGCTTATTTTTTTTTCTCAGATGGAAATTAGGAAGGTCAACGACTTAGTCTCAAAGTTTGGGTGAGTTTCTTTAGTTTTTCTTCTTGCTAACTCTTTTTGTTAAAGTTTGTGAGCTTTCATGCAAACCAGTCTGCAAGTTGCTGATCACTAAGTAATTCCCAGTCTGCCTTGCTGTTGTGACTGTTGATCCAGTCTCGTCCAACTTTGTGTTCAGCTTTCCTGCTGTCATTGTTCAGTTCCCTTGTCTCTTGTTGTTGTGGTTTGCGTGTGAGGGTATTTGTCTGGGCCGGTCACCCTCTGCCTCACCCTCCCTCCCTCCATCTCTCCTCTCTGTACATTTTGTCACTGCCTGTCCCCTCCATCACTTCCACTTGAGCGCTCCCCTGTTTGGGAGCCTCTCTCTGTTCGCAGAGGGAAGAGGAGGGCTGGATACCACACACACACACACAGGGACACACACACACACACACACACACACACACAGGGACACACCATAGATCAGAAGGCCCTTCATAAACACATGGAATCCCCCTTAATACTGTAGATTGAAAGGCTCTTGGGGGGTGGGTTTTGTCTGTATGCAAAACGACCACCTAGGATCATCTTTGATTCAGGTTTTTCAGCTCGGCCAACAAACTTGGCAATACTGAGAAAATTTTTATAAGAGAGTTTTCTGTGGTCAGTCTAATTTACCAAGTAGTCCTTCAACACAGGATTTTTCTATTTGTTTATTTGAATTGCTTTTGGTTGGTAAAACCCTTAAAAGAAAAGAAGCAGACCGTACACAACATTTGTTGCACTTCCCATTAATGGCGAAGCCCATATTTTCATACTGCGGTGTCAGAGTTGATGAACTGGTTGGCTTGTCTTTGTTTTATTGGAAATTTTGACCTTTCCGCATGCATGACAGGTATGCAACCTCAAGTCAACAAAAGGCATGTAGGTCAATGGAGAGAGAAGCTATTTACTCTGTCATTAGAGTCCACAGTAAAACCTAAACCTGCCATTAACTCCCAGGGTCAAGCTCATTGAAGATGACTTGAGTTTTCTGCATAACTGATGATGACAAAAGGTCGGCTTTACCGGAGTACAGGAATTTTATACCTGCAAGTCATTAAATTCAGTGTTTGTGTTCAGTGTTTTTTTTTTTCTTTTTTAGAATGAGTAAGGAAACTATTATGAAGAGTCTGATATAATTCAGCTATCAAAGACTGAAATCAGGGTTGAGGTTAATTGGTTTCTGGTCTAAATGTTTTTCAGTTTGAAAGGCCCAAAGATTATTGATCATGTGGTATTTGCAAATATTTTATGGGTTTATTTTGCTTGACTGTGTCTCAACTGGAAATTAATTGGTTTTACAGCAAAGGACAATAGAATGAACACTTGTGTAGTTAAGATAAAATGGTTATATTTTAGGCAGTTATTTGAAGAAAAAGAATTAAAGCAAATACTTCACTGTCCCTAGAATAATCAGGAGAAAAGGCCAGAGTGCTGCAGAACAAGGCATTATACGTCCGTCACATGACTAATCTTCCCATATTTCTGTAGCTGCATATGGAATTCCTGACATTTTTTCCTGAGTGTGCTGCAACGTGGACCGCCAACCTCAAGGCCCTTAATTAGAGGCCTCGTTGATGCAAAACGGCAAACACACTCCTTCAGCAGGTGGTTAACTGTACTGACCTACAAAACCGAGCCGCAGTAAACCGTGTCAGACACGAAATGAAAAAAAAAAAAAATGTCGTAAAACTTTTATATCTTGCTCACATGATGATCTTAGCTTTGACTTTACAGTGTAAGAGGAGGTAATGACCTTTAAACCAGACAGAAGTACTTATTGCCTTATTGGTGAATGCATTTTAAATGCCTTACCTCCATTGCTTTTAAATGGCTGTTTTGACACAAACCTGTTGAACAATATATTGCTAAATAAAACTCAAAAATTCTTTGGCTTTTAATTACAAAATGTGATAAAAATTGATGAAAACATTTATGTAAAGTGAAGTTAATAAAGGGTAAAATACATTTGAACTCTTAATAAGTACAGTTAGAGGATTTTCCTCCCAGTGCTGCCATGTACCAGCATCTCTACCCTGCTGGTTTTTGTTTTTTTAACCTGCTACTCTCTACTGGAAGAAAGAAAAATTAACATTTTTTCAGTGAAGGGGTACATGATTTGTCTTTACAACTTTACAACAAATGGAGTAAAACTTCTCACGAGAGGAATTTGACCTAGAAATGCCAGGCAAAGATTTTTCACAGGTGACTTATTGCCTTCAGGCACCTTAATAGTGTTCCAGCTGAAACCGCCCTGCAAAAAAATGGCCGTGTCATTTCCCTAGAAGCTATGCCAAGCTGACAATTCAACACAAACAGGCGTGTTTGTGTTAAATCGTCATGCTTTTGCAAAGAAGTCAAAACATGTATATAATGGGATGTTTGTGAAGCCATTTGGTACATTGAGTATTGGTCATTCACAGTTTTTTTTTTAGTTTTTTTTTATTTCTGTTTGAACACACATATTTTGTCAAACCATTTCGCTCTTCAGCAGTAACTTGTCCCAAATTTATGGCTGTAGTGTGAGTCCTGAGTTAAGACTTGAGGCTGATAACCGGTCTGTGCTGTGTTTGTGTTTTTCTCCCTCAGGAGCTACTGAGCAGACCATCTCAAGAGGATTTGAGTAAACAAAAAGGAGGGAGGAAAATGACCTAATTAGCGACAAGCGTGACGGACAACCTGGTGCAAATGTGTTGGTGGTAATTTCCCCAGTTTCACCCACAAGGCAGACACATGCATCAGCGCAAATACACGCACGGCACATTTGCAAACCCTGCCCTTCCCTTCCTGCCATCCGCCCCGATCCTCCATGGATTCCTACAACTTCCACTTTGAGAGAATGAGCAACGTGGACCTGCATCCTCTGAGCCTGCCTGTCAGCCGGCTCTCCCCAGCCAAGTCCAACAGCAGCATTGTCGACCAACTCGCCCACCACCAACACGGCAAAGGAGACTCTGCCTACAGCTCCTTCTCTGGCGGGTCCACTGCCCCCGACTACCCTTCTCCCTTCCTCCCAGACGACCTACAGTCCAGCGCCTTCAGCCACTATGCTGATCTCAAGTATGTAAAGTCCATTTACCATCCCACCCAGGTTCTGCAGTCTGATCCAAAGACCATGGACCAGCTCTATCGCTCTGTCGAGGCCATCTCTCAGCACTATCGCAACAACACTAGCTCCAATGCAAACCACCACAACCACAACGGCAATGGCAGTTTCCATACCAACAACAAAGCACTCTCTAAACAAGAGGCGCCTTTGGGGGCTCCATCCCAAAGTGTATACCCTCCTGTCCATCCTCCTCCAGTCCCAGCACGTCTGGATAGTTTCATAGCCACAAAAAACTTGGAGAACAGCAGGGTCCACCACCAAGGTACGGAGTTTCAACCCCAACAGCCTCAACAACAGCCCAGACCCTACAATCGACTCCATTCACAGCACCATGGTCTGAATGCCCGAAGCCCTGAGAAGGCCAACCCAGATACAGGCAACTCAAACTTCAAAAATGACCCAGTGTATTCAGTTTGGAGGGGCTCTCAACAGCAGCCACCACAGGCCCAGCAATCACCAAGCTACCGGCCTCACCTGCAGCCTCATGATCAGAGCAGGGTGAACCCGGAATACCTTTTCATCATGGACAACAAAGCTGCCTCCGATCAGCAGAAATCGACAACCGTCCCAAGCGGATCACCTCCCCGAGGCACAAGCCAGCCTGAGCACCTGAAACCCAGACATCTCTCAACCAGTGGTGGATGTAATGGAGACCATCACAACAAGCCCAATGGTAGCAGTAGCCATTTTGAGAGTCAGCGCAAAAGGGCGCACTCAGCTCACGACTGGCTTAGGCCAGAGCCGACACGAGCTGCCAGCCCCTGGAATCCTGGTCAGAGTGTTATCAACAGCAGCATCCAGCATAAGGGCCAGTTCTACTTTGTCACAGGAGTGTGTAAGCTGTCTGACTCCAGTATGAGGATGTACTCCGCCTCTGTGTGTGGGTCCGAGGCAGGGAGTGAGAGTTCCACTGTGTTGGAGAAGCACAGATTAAGAGAAAATGAAAGAAGCCACAGCACCATGGATAATTTGTTTAGACCTCTCCAAGAGAGTTCTCGCTTTCCCAGCGGTACGATTCCAGATGAGAGTGAGGTTTTCATTTCTGTGTCCCCCAGGAGTCACGATCAGGAGAATCACAGACCATCCCTCATGTCGACGCAGTCCTCTCAAAGCTTGGACACCTTAGAAGAAATCGACATGATCCAGAGTCGAGAGATCGGCCGCCACTCTGCCAACAACCCCATATTCTACTGTGGACCTGACCGAAACTGCTCGCCACATTCACCAACGCAAACGAAGGAGGTCACCTCACTAATAAGCAACGAACAGCCCAACCACTCCAAGAGAGAGGAGCAGGCAAAGAGAGGGAAGCGGCAGCCTTTGGGGGATGTAGCCAGCGAGAGGATAAACAAAGAAACGACCCCGCTTCTCTATCACCTCACTGGGGCTAACAGGGCAGCCTTGCAGCCCAGAAAGGATGCTGACTTCAGTACAAAAGGAAAGGAAGCAATCCTGAACAAAACAGGTCAGGGAGACATGGCAGTAAACGACAGTGAGAGACCTCCACGAGGTAGCACGAGCAATAACGACAGAGGAGACGTTACCAATGTCGCGTGTAACACTCTGGATGACTCATTTAAAAAGTACTACAAAGAGAAGCTGAAGGACGCCCAGTCTAAAGTCCTGAGGGAGACTTCCTTTAAAAGGAGGGACCTGCAGCTGTCATGGCCACACCGTATCAGGCAAAAACCAGAGCTGAGGCCGACAGTGATTCACGCTTTCTCCCCATCGCAGGACTCAGAGACTTCCACAGACACACTCACTCCATCTGTGACCTCTGAGGAGACAGAGAGGGGGAGCATAAAGGAAGACGTCGAGGAGAATCAGAAGGAGATGGACCAAGAGACTGAAAAGGAGAATGGGAGGCCGGCAAATGTGGCCCAGCCCCAGGTGGCACGCATCGGAGGCAGGAGGCGACTGACTCCAGAGCAGAGGAAGATGTGCTACTCTGAACCAGAGAAACTCAACCAGCTCGGCAGCACCCCCCACCACTCCGCCTGTCGCTCCTTTGGCAATGAAAGTGAGAATCTGTTTGCAGCTGAAAGTGAAGGAGAGGAACGTGGGCAGCAAGGAGAGCAGGGGCTGGTTGCAGCACGGAGGAAGATGTTCGAGACAAGAGGTCGGGCTCTCTCAGCCTCTAGTGCCTCAAAGACAAACCTAAAACATCTGCAACACAAGGCCCTGGTGGAGTACATGGAGCGTAAGACGGGCCAGAAAGTGGCTGAGCCACAGCAACCAGCAGCTCAGTTACCACCTCCGCCCAGACAGAGGCACTCTCTGGGAGAGAAACCGTTTGACTGGGGTCCCAGGCCTCTATCAGGAAATCATGAAAGCAAAAATACGAAGAAGAAGCTCCATAGACCCCACTCTGCGGGCCGCATCCTTGATTCCTCCACCAGCTCCATCAGGTAAGAAAGAGAAAAGACAAGAGAGCAAGAAAAAATTCTTATGATGCTGTTTTTTCTTATAGGGATCAAAAGCAGACATTTTAAGTATTCTGTTTGAATTTTCACAAAACAGGTATGCACAGTTCTTCTCAGCACAGTCTTGTTCTGGTCAATATACTGGCCAGTCAAGTCAGGCCAGATGGAGGGAGAGTCAAGGTCCAGCTCAGGGGAAGTCTGCCTCAGTGGAGAGTCTCTTGGACCAGCCAGAACCTCCTAGTTTCTTCAGGAACAGATCAACATCCACACCGCATGCATTTCAGGTGAGTCATTTCAAGATAACCCTAACCCTTAACATCGGTAGATATTGGTATTTATCCAGGTTAACTTACATTGTGATGTGTAGAAAACCCCCATTTTGTATAAGCAAGAAAATTAGAAAAAAAGAGAGAAAACAAGTCAAACCTTGATCCATATCTGTTACTGTAGTATTTCAAACTCATTTTACATACTTTGCTGTTGAACTCACACGTTTTTGTTCTTCATCTGGGTCTGCAGGCACACGACTACGAGAAGGATCCACTCCCAGTTAATACTATGGAAACCTGCAGGTATGTAACAGCACTGCAGACAAATTGGGACATTTATATTGGTTTTAGGTCAGGAGAGTATTAGGTCAGTGATGTGTGTGTGCTGCGGCACAGACTGTAAATCTCGACTTGGTTCACTGAGGCGCTGGAAAGTCAACACCAACCTGCTCCAGCAAACCTGCGTTCCTTCTTGAGAGATTTTCGCACAGGCTGTGGTCATTGACTGAACCATTTTCAAGGAGTTGGTCTATTTCTCAAAACTCTGTTGGGATTTGTCGGAATATCAAATGATATTTCTCTGAATCCATTCTATGACGCATTTGGTTTTGCCATCAAGAATATGTATATGAAAAAAGTATGAAAAATGTGACAGTTTTTGTTTTCATTTTAAAGCCAAGACTTTCTGTTCTAAAATAATCGTAGTTCACATGAATTGTATGGCTTATGCTACACATTTGACACTGAATGTCAATTTCAGTCCCCAGAAAAAAGCCAGTGAGGATCCCTTGGTAAAGCCAGTAACTGAGGGCCAGCAGCATGTCCGTGTGGTTGCACAAAGGGGGAAGTCCATGGAAGAGCTTGGGACTTCAAAGTTAACAAGACTATCAGCAATGAGTAAAAGTTCTGAGCAGCTGGATAGACTGTGGAGACATTCGACTGGACCAGGGGGGCCGGAAAGAGACAAGAGGAGTGTTTCATTCATTGCCGAAGTCAGAGAAGCCCAGGGACAGGAAAGAGCGAGGAAGATACAATATCTAAGAGAGGAAGCGGGAAAAGAACCAGAGATTGTTGATCAGAAGAACTCTCAGGGACAGATACAAAACCAAACCCAGAAAAAGCCCCTGTTGAAGCAGAACTCAGACCCAAGGGAGGAGCCGACAACAGAAGGAACAAGGAGCTCAAGTAGATCCACCTCCCCTGCCTCCTGCTCCTCTTCCCGGGCCAGGGTTCACTCTGGATCTTCTGGATCTCACGGCCCTGTCACAGATGAGTTCAGGTACAGCAGACCTCCCAGTGAGAGTTCATCCAACCCACCTTCCCCCAGAGGGATAGAGACCAGCGAGAGGGAGATCAAGTCGTCCACCCCTGCCCAGCCAAAACTTTCCTGTGAAAACAGGCCTTGCTTCAGGTAAGATTAGACTATCAATTCAGACAGACACTCATTGAATCGTCATCAATTCATTGTATTAACCCTTTAGCAGGTGTGATTCTGCCCTGATGTGATTCTTAACTGTAATGTGTTTAACTACGTCCCGTAGAGTCAGGACTTCTCCCTCTGTGACTGGATCAGAGAGAGAGCAGTCAGTGGACGAACCAAGCAGCGACGCCCTGCCGCCTGATTCAAACCACGAAGTGTCTCTGAGCTGTGGCGTCACCACAGATCCATCGCTGTGGATTCTCCCTCCAGAAGAAGAGATCAAAGAGGACGTCCAGAATCCGCTGCTGACAGACAGCGTTTTTGATGACGAGTCCACCTGCTCAGCACCTCAAACGCAGACAAGCGAGACCTCTGTGTCTCCCTGCGCCTCCGTCACTCAGGCAGACGTCACTCAGCGGGCGGAGGAGGAGAAAAATCCCAGTGCGGAAGATGAGAAGTCGGGAGAAAACCAGGAGATGGAGGAGAGGGGAGCACCAGAGGGGGAGATGGAGAGCCTGGAGGGGCCTGCCGAGAGACCTCAGTGGGAGGAGCTCGTGGAAGCGGTGGTCAAGGCCGACCCATCACTGGCCAGGGTGCTCTACCCGCTGGCCAGTCGTAAGACGGCGCTGATGCTGATGGAGCAGCTGCTGTCGGAGGACACGCTGCTGATGGAGGAGCACTACAAGAAGAAACAGGAGCAGAGAGGAGCTGCAGAAAGGTAAATGTTAATGTCCTGGAATATTACACCAGCTGTGGCAATCACACATAAACTTTTACTGCTCTATTGACAACATTTTACTGCCTCAATGAGAGAGGACAGCAAACTCCTGAGAATACTTTGTCTGAAATGATTCGTATGACTTCTTCACAGAAAATAGCTGTAAAACAGTGGAAATTGGCATAGATGATAACTAGACATGCTTCATAAATTTCCCAAATCCTTGACTTTCCATCCTTTCAGGTGGCTGCATAACCGATACGGAGCTGTGTAAATGGAAAGAAAAATCCATCCCACTCACACCTTTCAAACCATTTTAGAGCTGACGTGGTGCTGGTGCAGACAAAGCCAAGTTAATTAGGATTCCTGGTTTAATGTTTGCTCTGGGAAACTTGATACTGGTTTCTAATGGCAACAGACCGGAGCTCCACCAGTGCTGTGTTACATTTAGTTGCATCACATGTACACACCTGACACACCTGGATATCTGCTTGCTGCTGAACATGCACTCAGATTTCTGCTGGTGTAAGCGCACCTCAGATACGTAGAGAATGTGCAAACGCACGTCATGGTTTTGTAATAGTCTCAGAGTGCACAATTGATACAAGAATTACATCTGAGTATGTCTGTTCTGTATTGTGAAGGCTGGAATTATTGGTTATATCAACAGGGTGCAAGAATGTTAGCCTGACCTTAGCACATCTTTCTTCTTGTAGTGCTGAAGCGGATGAAGGGGCTGAACCATCTCCTTGTCTTCCTGCTGCTGACAGCCTTAAACCTCAGTGCACAGACCTGCAGAGCAGAACTGACATCACTGAGAAGAAGGTAATTATTATTCATTTATGCAAAATAACGGCTGGTTTTCATGTAATGTGTATATTTAAATCCTTTTAACGATTAAATCCTTTACTAAGAGGAAGTTTCATTTCACAGTCAGAAGAGTCAAAAGAAATAAGCCATTAAAACGATATCACAACAAAATATAATGAGACCAGTGGGTAGCTTCACTAATAAGAGACAATATATGTCTAAAGTTGTCTCCGCTTTGCTGCACGTAGAGTAACTATGACGACAAACCAAGCAGGACACCAGAACATACTGAATATTTAACTACCCACTTTGAACTGTGGTCTCATTGTGTTTTTCTTTTTTAAAACACAAACTAGGTGGTGATTTCATATTGATACCATTTTGGATGCTATTCGGCCTTAAGTGGACTCATTTCAAGGAGAGATAGCTGTGTCTCTCTTTTCACATGATGTACTGTCTGTCTCTTATCAGTCCCTCCCACTTGTTTAATGTTTGGCTCAGCAGATAGTCCCCCCCCCCCTTTTTTTCCTGATTGTCCTGAACATTCACGTTTTATTACAGTATATCCTTATTCATGATCTTATAATAGCAAATGGAAAATAAGTATAAAATTGGTTCATCTGGTTGTGTTTACGTATATTTTTATTTTTTTCCCACCTTTTTTTTTTCTGCTTATCCATATTTTGCAGCATCATTTCCTATAGTCTCTCACACATTTCTCTTCTCTTAACAGCATCTGTTAGTGTCTTATATCGAGGAGCGTCTGCGCTCACTGGAAGAGACGCGCGGTGCCCTCCAGGCAGAGATTCAGGAGAACGTGGCCCGCGGGGAGGCACTGGAGGTGCTGGTCTGTGAGCGCTGTCTGCCCGTGGAGCTGGAGAGGTACAACCTGTTCATAGGAGACCTGGAGAGGGTGGTCAGCCTGCTGTTGTGCCTCTCCGCTCGGCTGGCCAGGGTGCAGAACGCCCTGAGCACCGTGGACCAGCACACAGATGCTGAGGAGAAGGTGAGGGACCAAAACCTTTTTTTTTTTTTTTTGGAGGGTCAGTGGGTTCATAAATTAGGTCTTGAGGTTCGGCTGCATTTTTGTATGCTATTAGACACAGCTTGGAAAAACTTGAAACTTTCTCTGGATGGGTAATACATTTCAGTGAGGTATTAATTGGTTTAATTTTTTTTTTTGTCAAGTTGCATAATTGTCTGATCGTAATGCAGCTGCCAGCAGGGATTGTTATGAAAACTCTGCTTGTTGGTGCATTCAGTGACCCTCCAAAATCGGAGATTTATGCATAATCCTTTAATTTTTGGCTTTGTTTGTTTTTTGTTTGTCTTTTTTTTCTTCCTGCCAGAATGACCAATGAGCGCAGTGTTTTTAGCAACCAGTTCTCAAAAACACATCTCACAAGCTGTAAATCTCTGTTCATAAATATATGAATCTAATTTAAATTTATCACCGCTGCCCTTTGTGCCTCTGTGCCTTTTACCCCTGAAGTTGTTTACACATACACACTAATGCATGCGAGCAAAGCAAGCATCCTGTGAGCGAGTGCTCTTCGTGGAACATATCGTCATGTAACTTTGCGGATCTCATGATTCACTGCAGCTCATTTAGAGCTTCTGGCGAAAAGACGACCGCGGCTGGCTGCTCCCATGCCCCAGCTATACTCCCATTCTGTTTACTTTAGAACTGCAAACATGCCACTTGGGAAAAGTTGAAGGGCGACATTAATGGAGTCAAGGTTTCTCGCTATGTGGAATTCAAAAAATGCTGTCAGGTTTATCTGAGTTTAATTGGCCATTTTTGGCTTATCTGTGTTTGAGCCCGAAGATTTATCAGACATTTGACGATAATCTCTCACATAATGCAGTTTGATAAGGCCGCACTTTAAGAGTTTGTGTCCAAGTGGTTTGATATATTGAGAAATAATTACATGCATTTCAACATGCACCTGAAGGAGCTACCATTCACTAAAATATGTTTACTGCAAGTCCTTCAGGTCTTTATTTCAAATACAGTTGTATTTACTTTCAAAGTCTCTAAGATCATCGTGTCACAGGATCTGAGCTCTGTGTCCTCTCTGAATATCCTGTTTGATTGTGTGTCCCAATATTTTCAGCATCATTTTATGTTTGCATGGATGCATTGGATTTCTAGATTTTTCTCCTGAAAGGGTTCTTTGTTAATTTGTCCATCTGTAAAAGCCCGGCTGGACGTGCTGCATACTGAGGGCTTGTTAGAGGCTCATTTGTTTTCTTGCTGTTATCAGCAACACTGGTATTTACACTGACTCACCGAAACTCCAGCCCGGTTTCGATGACATTTGTATCTACCCTGCCCTCTGTTGACACAAGGAAACACTGCGCCTCCTGACCTGTGGCTGTTTCAAACATAATTGTACAACTTTCACAGGTTGAGTGACGTATTACCTTTTAAATTTAAATAAAAAAATATAATCCAAAAATTGTGGTTAAAAAAATAAAGCTTTTTGACGTGATACATTTTCAGATTTTCTATTACATGTCTTGATATTCTGTCCTTTTTGTAAGCGTGGTACACATTACTGAACATTCTACATATTCTACAATATTATACATAACAACTTGCACCAGAATATGGCTGAATAAAATCTACATCCGGTATAATTTATCTCCTTTGTCCTCTCTCTTCATCTCTCCACTCAGCAATCTCTGGACAGTCGCCACCGACTGCTGTGCAAACAGAGGGAGGACGCCAAAGATCTGAAGGATAACCTGGACCGGAGAGAGAACCTGGTCTCCACCTTCCTGTCACGCCAGCTGTCCTCCGAGCAGCTGCAGGACTACCGGCGCTTCGTCCAGACCAAGGCCTCGCTGCTCATCCGGCAGAAGGACCTGGAGGAGAAGCAGAGGCTGGGAGAGGAGCAGCTGGAGGCTCTTTCCAACAGCCTGAATCTGTGAGGGAGGAGGGGGAGGCAAGAAAAAGCCCCGGATTGGATGGATGTGCTTTGCTTGGCTCAGTTTGCTACATACAGACTACAGGACATGGATTATAAATGGTCCAGCTGATATCTTTAACCCTTTTGCACCCTGTCATGACATTCCTTTTGTCCTTTTAATAGTGTGACAAACTACAGGGGTACCCATCATACTGTTCTATTCTCATAACTTATAGGCTTCTCATGAGGTGAGCAATAAAGACTGTTGAGACTCGTTGCCTTTCTGTCATCTGCCGAGGGTCGCCCAGAAGGCTCACCCACTTTCCGCCCAATGAACGAAGACTCACCCCTTTATGTTTCCTGTGACTTTAAACAGAAGGCCGAAACTTCTTCTGTTTCTCCGCGTGCCTTGGTATTGGTGTTGCTGTGGAACGTTTTCCATTAGAGCTGCTGTGTGGAAAGTTTGCGTCCCTTGTTAGCAATTCAGTAACTGTCCTTCTTTTTTTCATTAAGATGGTAGCGCTACAGCCCTGTATCTGCACCTGTGGAAACCTATTATAAGCTTTAAACTTGTATTTTGACCAGTGAGAAGGCTTCAGTGAAAGATGGGGGCTGGTGTACTGTATCATGTCAGTGAAATGTACAATAGATGTAGTAGATTTAATCTTTCTTTCTTTCTTTTTTTTTTAATGTTCTTATTTTTTGAAAATGTTTCAAATTAAGGCACTAAAAACCAAAAAAGGTGAATGAAAAAAAAGCACTTTGTAATGATACATAAATGCACATTTCTTCAAATCAGATTTGTTTTCAAAAGTAATTTCAAGTGAAAGCCTTACTCCATCCAGTTAAAAGAATTTATTTGACGTATTTTTGTTTGTTTTTGTCATTCATTTTAAATAGGATTGCTGAAATTATGTTTTATAAAAAGGTACATGAGCATACCCAGCAAAATGAAGGAATGTGTAGAAATACTTTTCCAACTAATTTCATTCTTCATGTTATTAAGTTTTGATGATTTCATGCTTGAACAGCTCCTCATGCGGAGGTGCTAAACCTCTTTAAAGCAGTTTAAAAGTAAGCAACAATTATATCACTGGGTATTTTCTCCCAATGTCCCTTTGTCACAGAAGTGACACGTGATACTTGAATACATTTTTTTTTTTTTTTTTTTTTTTAAATAAGAGGAACGTCCACAATCTTCACTTCAGGTGTCTTAAACTAATTTTCTATTCACTACCTCCACAGTGTAGCCCCTTTGAGACACATCTAACCTTTAAAGTTTATTTAAAAGTACACACTAGCATCTAGTTTTTAAAAAAAGCTCTTCTCAATAGCCCTGGATACACACTCTTGAATCATATTACATTCCCCGCAAAAGTAATCTTACATTCTGTGTCTCCTCGTTAATATTTGTGATTAGCTTTGATAGTTTTATTAATTTCTTTTGTACTGAATCCTCAACCAGACACATTTGTTTAAGAGTGATGTGAGCTGTTGCTCTACATCAGAATATCTGCAGCGTGTGTGTGTGTGTGTGTTTGTGTGTGTGTGTGTAGACGCTTGAGATTGTGAATGTCTTAAGAGGTTTAAGTTGTAGAACAGAGAGACAGAATTTCTCTCAGTGTCAGCAAAACTCCTTATGAAGTCATAAAATGATCAAAAATGTCGAATTGATCCAGTGAATGGGTCTACTGTTGTGTATGTGATATTTATGTAAATGTGACCACAAAGAAGCAGAGCATCATTAGCAGCCTCCACATATATATATATATATATAAAATCATTTATTGACTAACACAAAATGTCAAACAAGTGGACAAGTAAACAATTAAAAGCAGGTTTCCCTCAGAAGGAGGAAACTTCTTCTACCCGGAAAGATATTTTCATGTTTTTTTGCTGAACAGTTTCACCACTTCCTAAAACATTTCTCTGGAGATTTACAACTGTGTCGCTCTCCGTTTGCTAAACAAACGTATGTTTGTTTTGGCCTTTGTGCTGACGCAGGGCTGAGGGGGTTAGAGAGACTCTCGTGTTGTTCCCTGCAGCCTGCTGGAATTTCTAAAGTATGCAAAAGACCCAACATTTTGCAGAAAAGAGGAGACCGGGGGGGGAAGCGAGGAAAATACTCCCACAGAGGGAGCAGCACATGGATAAATACTCATTTCAGTTGTTACCATGCGCGTGCATACAGCAAACGTTAGACGACAACAGAGGTCGCATAAAAGGGGGGCCTGTTTTTGAAGTAGGATTTTATTTGTTTAGTTGGGGGATTTTTGTTTCAAATACTGGAGGTGTGTGACATTGATACGAACAGAATCTGTTTTAAAACCAAGAAGGAAAGATATATTTCAGTCCCAGCTGGTGGGAGAGACAGCAGAGACATTTCTAAATCCACTTTTTCTGCTATGTTTTTTTTCTGTTGAGAGTTTGAGTTGTGTTTTTGTGCCTGTTTGGAGTTGTAAATTCCATGTTGCTTGTAATATTGTGCATAAATTAAGCTCTCCCTCTCATTCTGGTGTTTCACATTTCTTCTGTTTCTTCCACAATGAACTTTTCTAAAGTCAAAGGGGCATTTTTGCCCAAATTCGGACACACTTCACTCACTAGCAGCAGGAAACAGATGCAGACACACTCATCCAACCTGAACAGTAGCAAATAACAGGTACAGGCGAATCACATTATGTGCAAAACATGACAGACTATACATAGACCTGCAAATACGGGCTATATGAAATATTTATAGTGTGATTTTATGTTTGGATATTTCTTTTTTTTATTATTATTTCATTCAAACTGATGAAATACTGGTATCTACTGACATATTTTGGCTTTCCTCCACCAAAGGTCTGAAGTTTCCTCAGTAGTCGAAGATTTCCAGGATTTGATTGTGTTCGTCTCAGAGTCCGTCTCTGCCCTCTGTAGGCACATCGGCACACTGCCTCCGAGAAGCCAGTAATTCACTGTCACTGAACTGAACTGGCAGCCAGTATTCTGCAATCAGTGTCCTCCCTCTACACTTTATGGAAGATTCATCATCTGTGTGTGTATAGGCTGATGATGAGGACAGAAATAATACCTGTAAATGGAAGAAGGGGAAACTGGGTTGTATATTTGACATACTTATTCTCTTTATGAGCAGCCACTTAGCTAGCTTAGCAGAAAGACAGGAAACAGGAGGAAACAGTTAGTCTGGCTCTGGCAGCTAAATCTACTTTCCAGCACCTCTAACGCTCGCTAATTAACATTTTATATCTTGTTTTTGTCAACTTTGTACAAATTACACAAATGAGATATAATGTGTCAATTAGTGACCTTTAAAGGTGCTGGTAGGTGGATTTTGCTATCAGTCTTCATGCTTAGATAAGCTAACCAGCTGCTGGATTCAGTTTCACATTGATTAGACAGACGTGACTGTGGTGTCAATCCGTTCATCTAACTCTCTACAAGACGGCAAATAAGCTTATTTCACAAAATGTCTACCATTGCTGTGAGAAAAACTTCAGGTTTTGGTGCTCAAAACTGACAAGTTGAGCGGGATTTATTTTTGGTAAGCAGCCTGTGTCTTCCATCTCTCTTGTCTCTTTCATGCCTCATTCTCTGCCCTTGTTTGTTCAGCCTCACAGCGGAAGGCCGTCCAGCTTGTTTGTCAGCTACAACAAATGCTTATTAAAAGAATGAACAAAAAGGATTTGATGTTGGCAAACCCCAGGAGGGCAGTGAGAGACACTAGAGAGCACTTAGCGTACCAAGTAAAAAGCACTGTTGATCATATTCCCACTGAAGGCAGTAGGGACATAAAACAGGGAATTGGAAACTAGAAGATCTTTGTCATACATTACTTGCATGGTAATTAGGTTTAGCGCTGTTACAAAGACAGCGCAAGCGATGTAGCATTTGGTGTGTGTGCGCTGCCGACAACAAAACAGGAGGGAACAGGATGGTCTGAACACTGCAGCAGCAGTGCTGTCACACTGCTGGATAATGAGGAGCTTTGCTGCTGATAATCACTGACTGTGTCTTTCTGTCTCAGCAGTGACGCAGGGAACTGGAAAATGGTCAGTGAAACACAAACTTCAGCTGTGAATCTACACCATGAAGGGGCAAAAAGTGTGATTTTATTTTATTTTTTTATTGCTTCATGCTACCAAGTAACTGTGTCAAATTGGTCATAATATACAGTGTCTGCTGGAGGTCTGGAGGGTTATTTATCAAAGGCGGATGACTCAGTAATGACTCTGCCAGGTGCTCAGATTAGTGGCTTCAAAGCTTGGTTTTCAGCCTGAACTCTGAACTCACCGCCCGCCCAGAATGTCAGCGTGCCGTCAGTCTCCTCCTCCGACCTTCTCATTACACAGCTCAGTTATGAAGACTTAACAAAGCTAAACTGCTGATTGTAAAGCTGTACTGGTTTTATAGCACCCAGATTTATTGCCTCTACGTTACAGCAGATGTTTCTGTCAGAGCTCTGCTCTCATTAAGCTAATTTAAGGCCAGTTTATAACTATCTGACATGCACGGAGGACAATAGTTTACAATGAAACTGCATTCCAGACCCTCCATACCAATAGTTATTGACCCTGTTAGGTGTTATTTAAATTATGTTTTACCAGTGAGGTCATATTCTGCCCCTCTCATCTATGTAAATGAGAATGACATAAAAAACTAACAATTCACTTTTACACACTAGGATCTCAACAATAAACATATAATTGAATTTACCTATTCCCAACAATGTCATCACACACTGAACAAAGGATCCAAGGAGAATATATCTCATGACAGGTGGGAGATAAGACATTTGCGTGAACTTAAGTTCTTGTGGACTTTGGTGGACAACATGACAGCTATGTCTGGCCTAATTTTTGTTGCGTCATTAATTTCACTTTTTGTACGACTTTTGATTCATTTCCTGTTTTATTTTGTAGTTGGAGTTCCATGTGTGTCCATTGTACATTTACTTCCTGTCTTTGTCTTGCCTTTCCCTCCTTGTTGATTGTCTGCCCCGCCCTAACGTGTTTCACCTGCGGTCAATCACCCTTACCTCCCTGGTGTGTATTTAGTCTCTCTGCTCTCACTTGTCTTTGTCAGTCTGTCTGTTGTCCTACTGTGGAAGTCCAGTTTGTACTCCACTTCCCTCTGTGAAGTTTTTGTTTGTCGTGCTGCTGAGTTCCTGGATTTTCTGGTTTTTGTCCCTGCCTGTTTTTTTCTGGATTCTTGTTTTTATAGGTTTCTTTCTGTTATTAAAGACATCTTTTCTCACTTACCCCCTTTTTTTTGGCTGCATTTGGGTTCAGTACTTCTGACCAAATGTGGCAATACTTGAGTAAAGGGAGACAAGTTTAATCAAATCCTACTCAACATCAACAGACACTGATTGCCTGGTTACCCTTTAAAGGGATGAATATGAAGCTACAACTAGTAGCCTGCATCTATCTACTAAACACACAGACATGAAAGTGGTATGGATCTTCTCATTCTTAAGTTCTTGGCAAGAATAAAAAAAGAAGATTGATATTCTCATCTCTGTATGTTCAGTACCAAGCTGCAGCCAGGACGCAGTTAGCTTAGCTTAGCATTAAAACTGGAGGCAGGGCCTGACGCTGTCAAAAAAGCTCACAAATTAACGCTAATTAGTACATTGCATTTGATAGGGTTAGTTCACTGAACTGCGGGAAATTCAAAGGTCAAAGCATCGTGACAGCTTGTAACGCTCTGTAATATTTATGTCTGCGCATGGCTTAACCAAACAAGACACAACATGTTACTTTACAGCTGTTTAGAGGAGGCTGTAGCTCAGTCATTGTATTACTTAATAAGCTCTTTCCATGGAAAGCCTACAGTAAACATTTTTAAACCTTAAACAAGCCAACAGCGTGAACAGATTAATTCATCAACACTCATAAATGGACCAGTTTCAAAACATGAATCTCTACTTTTGGAACATAAGTAGAATTTACTTCTCACACTCTACACTTCATTGTATCAACAGTTCATTTTTTATAGTGTAATTTAACATCATGTTGTTCCTGACCACGTGTTGGCCTTTCTCCTTGCAGCAGCAGCAGCAGCGGCATCAGCAGCAGAGAAGACCATTTGCTTAATAAAACCCAGAGGCTTAGAGATGAAACATCGTATTGACGTAAAGACCGTATATGCTGTTGGGGAAAATGATATCATGACACACGCAAGAAACAGAGGGAGAGGGCTGGAGGCGGGGACAACAGGATGCATACCATTACTAAATTCTGCCATTTCTTTTTTTTTTTCTTTTCCAAACAAATTGCAACTAAGCATGTCATCTTTGGCATCTTGTCGACTCCTAGTTGGTGAGACTTAGTCACATCTGTCGTGGCTAATGAACCAAAACAGACAGGAAACAAGGCAGATAAGTGAGCTCTACATGAATGCTGCTCTTCAACTTCTTGTCCTCTGCTCGGCCTGCCGGGGCCAGTGGTGGCATTAACGCACACTTTCAGCCACATGCGTGCAAACACTTGCAAAACACACACTCACTCCCCAGACAGCTGCTTATCTGGCTGAATCACAGCCATATGTCAGAGACGTTTTGGCACACGCGCAGGGAGCGTAACGATTTATGACGCACCTGCACACACCTTTATGAATAATGCACCCTCTACCTTTTCTAGTTACATTTATTGTAAATCCAGTGTTTGTTTTCTTGCAGGGCATCTCCGTGGATGTTTGCCTCTCCTTAATGCTGCGCAGTGTTTTATAATTAATCTGTTATAAAGTGAAGCGATGAAGAAGTGAGTAAATCCTCCTCATAGGCACGGACAGTTCACAGATTTTTATTCTTTATTTTATTTATTTATTTGTTGCTGCTACAGGTTTGATTCACCCTTGAGTCAACACATCCATTTTTTTTTTTTTTCAGTTCATGCATGTTTGCGTGTGGAAATTGAAAGCATGACCATTTCACCACTCTCGGTTCAGTTCTTACTCAGATGAAAACAGAAGAGAACAAGTAAAATCTTGATTTGTCTGTTCAAAATGTCTTTGTTGCAGATGAAATTCTTGTTAGAATTTTTTATTTTTTATTTTTTTTAAATCAAAAATAGACATAGAAAGGACATTTTGAAGACATTTAAAACAGGCAATGGATGAAAGCTCAGTGATGTAAGAAATAAATAGCCTCACCTGTGCTGCTACCTACTGGTTTCAGTGCTTGGTGCAGCTGTTTTTGTAACTTAATTTAGAAAAAGAAATGGAAAATTCACTATAAAACAAACATTAGGCCTACATCAGTTGAAGTGTAACGATAGACTGATAAGACGAGGCCTTCAAGAGGCAGACACCACAGATGATGATTAATAAGATGACTCTGTATCCACTGTAATATTTTCTGAGTCATGTTTGATTCACACCTCAAAACACAATCTTAAGATACAACTCATTCAGGTAACATGATAAAACTAAAACTCTACTACTACTACTACTATTACTGGCATCATCAATTCTTCATCAAGTCATCGATGATTTGATTTCCATTTGAGGGAGATGTCTGTTTTTGCAGATGTTGCTTTTACATTTTACAAAATTACTTCAATAGTCACTGCTTGATCATCACTCTCACCACACACTCAATGTCCGACTCTTATATCTGATAGAAAATATAAATAAAACACAAACAAGAAAAGAGACACTGATTAGCTGATTGATTGATTGTCAGTTGTTTTCATTGTTGAAGAAGGCCCCAAAAAAAAAAATCAGAGGAATGTCAGTCAAATTCTTTGAATGTTCTTGCTGTGTTCTTGTTGTGTTTTCACACTATTCCCTCATGAAAATAAGAGGACAAAAGAGTTTTTCCATCACATAAAAGCATCCGATATGACTCTTTGTCTGAGGCCGCCGCCGCTGTCTTCTCTCTCCTCACTGGGGTCGTCGCTCAGCGAGTAAAATCCTAGCCTCTGCTTGTGCTTCTTCTTCTGGCCTGTCACGTGTGGCTGGAAGAGACGACTTATTGAATGCAGGCCCTTGGAGAGATCCGGGAACAGGTCCAGCTCGTCTTTCTCCTGCAGCGCCTTGTCCTGAGCCTGCTGGGCTTTGGGTTCACCCAGCATCTCTCTCAGAGTCCCAGAGATGCCTTTGTGCAGATAGTGGTAGGCCTTCTTCCCGCAGTTGTCCCTGATGCTCACATCGGCCAGGTACTCTCCCACCAGCATAGCCATGATGTACTCCTGGTCGTGCAAGGCGGCAATGTGCAAAGGAGTGTATCCGCCATGTGTTTTTGCGTTAACGTCAACATCAACTCCTCCTTGCCTTGACAGATCAATAATCCTCACAAGCATTTCACTGTTCCCACACTTGGCTGCCCAGTGCAGAGCAGTGAACCCTGTCATGAAGTCCCTCTTCTCTGCCAGCTGGTTGTCTGTCAGCAGCAGGCCATAAACCTGGCTCCAGTGGCCGGCGGCACACTTGACCAGCCATTCATGCTCTGACTGCTCCAGGGGAACCGTAGAGGGAATCCTTGTGTCTTTGTGCTCCTCTGACGCCTTGGTTGTCTTCACTGCCCTCCTCAGCTGGGGTGAGCTGACGCCGCTGCCTGTCTCAGCTGAGGAGGGTTTTCGCTTTCCCCTGGAGGCATCTAGTTTTGGACTTTCAGGAGGATCATCTCGGTCCACCTTCAGCTTGTGGATCTCCACCCTGGTGGTGCTGGGTGGCATTCTCAGAGGCAAGGCGTAAGGTTTGCTCTGGATGGTGGTGGGCTCATTTACTGCACCCCTCCTCGAACAATTATCTCCATTTGTACCCTGTTTCTGGATCTCAAAATTCAGCATCCTTTTAACCCTAATATTAGTATATTTGCTCCTCTGCAGTGCTAGCTGTAGAGGAGACAGTAATTCTGTAGGATTGTCACCACTTTCACTTGCCTGTTCTGGATCAAGTTCAGAGAGAGATGACCTCTCCCCTCTTGCGCCCTCAGAGCTCTCAGTCTTCTCTTCAGTCCGCGCAGATGGGCGCTGCTGCTCACCTGTCAGGGGGATCTCTTCATTCTCAGTCTTTTCCACACGGCTCTCCGCTGCAGTCTGGACATTGTCCAGCAAATGCTGATACATTTTCTTAATGAGAACATACCGGACACCGTCGATTTCTTTGACGAAAGCCACGTTGTTGACAAAGGTCTTGAAAAGCTCCCTGTTCCGCTCTTTCTCTGCGGGATCGACGCAGTCTATTGAACCTTTAAATTTACCCACCAAGTCGGACTTCTTCATTCTGCCTCCCTCCGATAGGAGCAGAGACAGGACGGATTCTTGCGTCAAAACCATTACTGAAACTATATGGGCTTTATGCGGATTTTAGATAAAACTTCTTAACTCCAACAGCCACACTGTATCCTGCTCCACCTTTGTCCTGGTGTCAGTGCGGTAGCCTTCACCTGGCCGCTCTCCTCCTCCCCACCTGTAGGAATGCTTTTCCGGAAAAAGTGCAGACGTGGATGGAATTTGAATAATATATGCAAGATGTTTCCCTACTGGCCCAACAGTTTTGTTTATACTTTATTTAGAGGCATTTACATGTAAATGAGAAATACTTTGAAATAGAAATTATATATTGCATTCATTTACTTATACTTTAGGTTATCAGGCACATGTGAAGAGTTATGATCATAGGTAATATAATACAAGAAATCTTAATAATACAACAACTTCTATCACCATTACTGCTACTGATAAAAAAATAACTGATAGAAGCCTTATTTGCTGTCCTCTGACACACACATATACACACAGACATATGTACAAAAGCAATAATTTATAATGAATTCTGAGTAAAATGTCTTGATCAGTTTATAGAAATAGGGTCTAAGCAAGACATTTGAATAAATAACCAAATTAAAGTATTATAAAATATGTTTCTCTTGTCTGGCTATCTGTAACTTTATTCAGTTTATTAAAAAAAAAAAGTTTGTTTGTTTGTTTTGTCAATGTCATTATCATCACCAAAATCCAGTACTATTGGACAGGCCCTAAAAACATACATACAGCTGCAAAAAGTAGGAGTCCCTAGGGCACCCAGGCTACATGCACAGTCAAACAGTAGCCTACAGTACACATAATACAGGAAAACTGGTTTTATAACTGGAGTAAATTAGACACAACAATAATGACAAAATAGCTCCTTCTGATTGGCTAAGTCACATTGTAGTAGAATTAATCTGTGACCTCACTAATTCATGAATGCAATGTCTTGAGAAGGACACATCTACAGTTGGCTACAGTGAAGTGATGATCAGGTATTTTATCACCTCCACCGTTGACACACATATTTCTGCCCCCACGCCCCCAACCTCTGTCGCTCTGCGGTGCTGCTCGCTCCTGTCCTGGCTTGCAGTGTGAGCAGCTTGACATTCCTGGACTGAATGGGAGTTCCTAAGAAGTGGCCATATTGGAACCTATCTACCCCGCCCCAAAGATGTCGCCAGAACGTCAAGATAGTTCACCCCCTTCTTTAACGTACGTAGAAACGTTGACCATTATGTCTCTGGTTTACCGCCAGGAAACACTTCAAAACGACTTTTAACTGCTCCAAATACAGAATTGATCAACCTTAAATCGGCAAGCACCCTTAATAATTAATAAGAAGAGAGGATACTATTAAAATCGTGACTATTCGTTAAATGTATGGCGCGTAACAGGAACATCTATCTTACCTGACTGCTGCTATTAACTATGTTTGCCGACTTCTTTTCATACTACACAAGCTACTCATCAGTGTTTTTTACTCATATCGACTCCCAGCCTTAGTCAAAAAGAAGAAAAGAAACGCTTTAGTTTGCCCGAGCGAACGAAGGTGAAGCGAAGTAGCAGGGAGTCCTCTTGTCACCTAGCTAGCTGGTAGCCTCCCTGTCCAGTTACCAGCTCTCTTCCGTCTTGTGTCCCTCTCCTCCCGTCTCTGTCAGCTCGGCTCAGTCAGTAGTTTGGCAGGCTAGCACGGAGAGACGAGGGCTGCTCCCTTTCGCCTCTGCTCGGTCTGCTCAGCACACCAACACCATACATTCCGCACCATGGCTGCCACGGACGTTGACGTATTTTCGGTGAGTGAAAGCCACGGCACTCCTTGCCGTTTCTCCCATCTTTTTGGAAGCGAAAACATTGCAGTCACGGGGAGTGCACGGTTGCGATTAGTAAAAGTGTGGGTGTTAGCTGCCGTGTGTGGGTATGTAGCTAACCAAGCCTCCCCCTCCCGCTTTTGAAGCCTGTGATGTGGGCTCAGCCGAGATGGTGGAAGTGATTGCTGTGATGGTTTCTTTCACTAAAGACAAATTAAGACAACGGTGTTATTTTGACTGCATTAATGTTGCGTTTTGTAACGTTTATTTCTGTATCTGTAAACATGTATGCGTTGCTGGGCATATGGGTGTAGGGTATGGCACCATTAAACTGTTTACTTGACGTTATCAGAAGTGGCTATAAACACAACACAATAAGGGAATGTACGTTACTATATCATGTAACAACAAATACAGTGGTTAGCTAGCAAATCAAAATACTATAAAATAGGATATCGTCGCTGTAAAGTCACTATTGTGCACCACAGACACAATTGAAGATGTATTAATTGCATTTTCATGGTGTAAAACTGCAATATTGTTTTGAATTACTAGATAGCAGTTAGTACTGTATGATGAGACTCAGTCCTGACAATGTGTTGACATGTGTTTCCTGTTAACTTCTTGTTCAGGGGTGTAAAATTGAACTTTTGTTTGACTCATAATGTTATATTTACACCTAAGGCAATGTCAGTTTTACCAGCCAGTTGTTAAACAGGCTGTGGCTACTTTGCTGATGGCCTGTATTTCTCAAGGCAGTACCTATTGCACATCCCAGTAGTAGGTTGGGCATAGGAGTAGATGAGAGTGGAATGCATCTTGTATAATATTCATAGTGACAAGCCCTGTTGTCAGTCAGGTGTAATCCAGTAGGTACAGTATCATGATGTAATATCGGCCAGAGAAAGAGCATTAACATGTAGGCAGATCTTTACATCAAGAATTCGTAGACTGTCACACAACAAAGCATGTATTAAGGAAAACTAATATTATAGTGACAAAGGAAAATGCACAGGAGGAGATTTAACAAGGGTGATTAACTTTTTGGCAGATCCTTGAAGAGATTCTTGGGGTGATGAATTGGACAGTAAGGAGCACTGAGCTGCAGGGATAAAAAGATTAAGAACACACTCCAGGCCACTCCTTCCACTTATTGGTGTAACACATGTCTGCAAAGAAAGGAGCGGATCCAAAAAAAGAGGATGCAGTGGATATTGCACAGTTGGCATTTTCTTAAATCAGGATCATGTCCAAGAAGGGGTACAGGTTGCAAAAGATATTGCAGACGAGCGAATTCTAAAATGTCTCTTTTGGAATACAAAATTAGAGGGTTGATTAATGAGAAAATGCTGAGAATGCAGTGAAAGAAGCCAGCGTCAGGAGCAGCATAGTTGCCTGACTCTCTAACTTCCTGTCTAACTTTCTGAACTAAGTGAGACCATATTGAACAAACTGACGTGCGTCTGGCAGTTTGTGTAAAGTGCACGCTGTTAATTATGTGCAGCTATTGATAGGGATGTGTGGTTGGTTGCGTTGTTGGCACACATCAATCCCAATCCAATGGAAGCTGTAGCTTTGGGATAACTTTCTAGGCCAGAGCCACACGAGGTGATCAATATAGCCAACAACTTCCATTGTTTTTTTTCACCCACTGATTGCACTGAGTGTGTAGCATAAAAAAGATGCTGTTCAGTTAAATGGTTATGTAATGAAATGGCCTTTAACGTATTTAGCATGTACAGTGCTTACTGACCCTGAAGAGTATTGTCGCTCCTATGAGGCCTGCATGCATGAAATTAAATTAGCTTCATAAAGTGCTTAAAGGCAAGAAACATGGAATGACAAACTATGGGAGAAGATGCTTGTACTTTAAAAGAGTTGCTTTGCTTGTTTGTGCTGATTTATTATTCACATATTTGCTCTAGTTATAGATTTATTCACTGATTAATCAGAATAAATCTGCATTTTCTCATTTTAAACAAGTCTTAGGACTTAAAACACGTTCCTTTACATCTTACATCTTACCACTGCTTTTCCCATGTTGTTCATTTGTATGTTGATGAGGTCAGATTGTAGGTCAGATTTACTCACTGTTATGTGTCGGTGTTGTTAGCTTTACATAGAACATACAGACCAGAATCGCCTAGAGGCAAGTTTGTCAAATCCAGTATCATAGATGGATAATGACAGCCGAGCTCCAGCCACTGTGCTAATGAATCAATATCCATCTATAGAATAGGTTCGAGTTTTCTCGAAGACAAACTTGTAGCTCCATATTGTGATGCTTACATAGATACTTTATAATAACTTGCATACGTTCTTTTACTCGCACTTTACAAGGATCCACATTTTTTCCTTGTGTTCAGTCTGTGATTAAATCAAGTTCACCTCCTCCATGTTGTCTTTTCCAACAGCATTCAGTAATGAGCATAACTAGTCTAGATCTCGCAACAAGAATGTATTTTATCTTACTAAGCACGTATGAAAGCTTTACATGCATGTGAGCGAGAAAAGCTTACCAGATCCAGGCAGGTTTTGCCTCTAATCCATAAAGACTTTTAGCTTGTGGCTAATAACATAACTGACAAAACTATAAAAATATCTCTTTTTTTTTGAGTCAGACTATTTTTTTGTCAGTTCAGCAATAGTAAGGAAATGGTGTATATTTGAAAGGCTCTATAAAGATGAGTGTGCTGTACATCTGTCTCGTAAAATGGTTCCTGTCTTCTCTCCCGTCTGCCTCACTCATTTCTTTTCGTCTGTCCTGTTGGGCATAGATGAGTTATAAAGCTGAGCAGCAATGTGGCCATACAATTGTTGTGCATGAGTGTGAGACAAGATGCATTTGATAAAACAATGATCAGATAAAAACTTTTTTGTTGTTGTTGTATATCTATGCTTGTGGATTCCTGTGAATTGCACACGTCATCTGCATCTCAACCGTCAACATTTTTTACCATTACTACATCGCCGCCAGCAAAAGTAGCAGCAGGAGAACAGCTACAGCACACACAGGCAAAATCTGTAGGTGTGGTTAGTGCTGACAATATTGCAAAAACATCTTAACCAAGTATATTTCTTGTATGACGACATAGGATGAGCTGTAAAATCCTTGATAATGAGCATTAATACAACAAAGCCTCTCAGATCTCAAAAGCATGATGTATCAGTCCACACACAGTGACACTTCAGAGCACATCAAGCTACATTTTCAGAAATCTACGTGACCGTCATTGGACAGGAAGTACTGAATGTGCATGTGGGTTTGCCACTGAGGTTTTCATGTGGTCTTCTCCCCTCACGGATGGAAGTAATA